GCTTGGGTCAAAAGTTATTGCAGAAAAACTGTTTTCGAAAAAATCGGCTATTTTTGCAGTTTTTGCCCCCTGCAGGCAAAACCGTTGACGTTAGGTCAAATCTGAGAGAATTACTCAGAAAGGGCGTTAATAGGGCTATCGAATGCGCTTTTCCGCGGCGCTGTAGCTCTATTGGTTCCCGAGTTATGCGTTGGCTTCTTGGAAATTTTCGACATTCGACCTGGAAATCGGCGAAATTTTGCCTTCAATGACCTCTGATGACCTGACCTTTGACCTGACCAAAAAATTGACCGAAGTGATTTCGTCATTATTTTTTACGCTCTTTCGAACGCCGCCTTCCGCGTATCGCTACGTGGCCCAGGAGCCGAGTTACAAGGGGGGTGTTCAAACACCCCCCCCCCCCAGCAGGGCGTGGAAATCCAGGACCCCCAGCAGGGCGCGGGTTAAGCTAGTTACTTGTCTTATGTTTATTGTTTATAGCCAAAAGACAGCTCATGTCCACCGTTGTGTCCGTGCCCCGTAAGGGGAGGGGGGTCAAGACGGCCCCTTGTCTCCTTCCCTCAATATCTTTAACGTAATAACGACATCGCCATTAAACTTGCAGTTGCCAATTGCCATTTCCATATTAAATCTTCGGATGATGATCTGAAGACGAGTCAAAGACTGTGACACTGTGGCCGAAAATGACGTAAGATAGACATCATGTTCTAGATGTTTTGCTCACAAAACATGATATTAGGGAGAAACTTTCACATTACCAGAGGACAATGCTTCAGACAAAAATAACATTTAACCCGCGCCCCGTAGGGGGGGGGGGGCCGAAACGGCCCCCCCCCTGTCCTTTTTGGTCGATATCTCCTAAACGGCTAGAGATATCGCCACCAAACTTTCAGGAACCCTCCGGGCATCAATTTTACACATTGTGACCAAAAATTTTTCCAGAGGCTATGATAGGTTGGCCACAAATGACGTCAGAGTGACGTCATGTTCTGTCATTTTCGACCGAAAAAAGACCTTCGCGAGAAGACCTGTCAGGACTACAGCTTTGAAGATACAGAAAAATGATCAAGACATGAAAGGTGTAGAATTGACAGGGCTACAAAACTGCTATTTCGGATTTTTGAAATTTTTGAGTTTTGACCCCCGAAAATCAAAAAAACATTTTTTTTGGATATATTCGCCAAAAAATCCAAAAAGTTTTTTGAGTTTCGAAAAAACCGGAATATATGTGATAGTGCCTACCGTCTTCTACCTACATACCAAATTTCAGATCGATATCTCGTTTTTTGGCCAAGTTATAGCGAAAAAACTGTTCAAAAATGATGACGTCAATTTTTCAAACTCAATTTTTGGCAATTCTAGAACTCGTAGAGCAAAACGAAGACCACCATTAGACTCCCCGTGACGAGCTGCATCGAATCGATACCCATTTTATGCAAAAATATCAACTTTGAAATTTGACCTAATTTGACCTGACCTTGACCTGACCTTCACCAAAAGGTGACCTAGGCTGGCCCCAAAGGCTGCCTAACCCACATAATCGCATTTGTCATGTAAAATGGACCATAAAACATGTATCACAAGACACATTCATATTGTGACCCCCGGTGACCTGACCTCGCTGTGACCTGACCTGGTATCAGTGACCTCAGATAGCAAAGTATGTGTTTGGCGAACAATGTACCATCGATGGTTTTCAATAAATTACCAATTTACTCGCTTTCACAGCACATTTCTTGAATTGCCTGTGAACGGTGAAAATCTGACCTTTGACCTGACCTGTGACGTCATCGGTTTGACCTAGGTCAATGAAATTTGGTCACAAGGTAGTTCCCGGGTGGGGCTATCGAGCGCCGTTTGAATTTTGAAAATCGGCCGGTAACTTTCCGAGATCTTAGGGGGGGGGCCGAAACGGCCCCCCCCCTACGGATGGTAGGGTCCGCCGGTAGCCCTACGGGGCGCGGGTTAAAATTAATGGCGTTACAAAGCTATCGGTTCGGATTAAAGCAAAAATGGAATTTTGATTTTTTACGAGACGACGTGCTACAATCGGACCAACCACCTTCCTGGCACGGGTCAATCATATTGTCTAAAATGTTGACATCCGAGTAAAATATTTCCGAATTGGTAATATGTTGCTATACCTCTTGGCTGTAAGAATTCATTTTCAATTCGAGTGTCATCCGTTATTTAGCTTGGTAAACGTATTATGATTAGCTATACCGAATGATCTAAAAAAATGTTTTGAGCAATTGGCAAATAGGTACGGGCGCTCAACATTGCAAAACCACAAAACAGTGTTCACTTTAAAAGGAAACACTACCACACTTGACTACCTGTTCACGAGCCGAGTACCCGTCGCACACACCATGAGCTACCAAATATCTCAAAACCTCAGGCCACTCACCGTCATTGCGGCAGCCAGTCTATCCGAGGGGGTGGGGTCGGCCGGCGGCTGGGGAGGGTCCTGGGACGACGGGTCCGGGCAGCGCCGTCACCGCCAGACCACGGGAGGCGGCAGCATCCGACTGGGGGTGGTCGGCCGTCGGACAGACCGACCGGCGACGGCACCGGCGCGACGAGACGCGTGCCGCTCAGCCGACGGGCCGGGAGAGGGAGGGAGAGAGAGGGGGAGAGGGGTAGGGAGAGAGAGAGGGAGAGGGAGGGAGAAGGAGAGAGAGAGAGGGAGGGAGGGAGGGAGAGTGGGAGAGAGAGAGAGAGTGGAAGAGAGAGAGAGAGAGAGAGAGAGAGAGCGAGAGAGAGAGAGAGAGAGAGAGAGAGAGAGAGAGAGAGAGAGAGAGAGAGAGAGAGAGAGAGAGAGAAAGAGAGAGAGGTGTGGTTTGGAAAAGGCGGAAACGGAGAGGGAGGTAGGCTGTAGGAGTGAGACAAAGACGGAGACAGAAGCTTTTTGTGCTATACCTACTGACGGACAGGGGAAGGCAGGGAGGTAGGTAACTAACGAGCGAGCGAGTTCTTCTTTTTTAGATCGTGAACTCAACTACATTTGATGCTATCCCCATTCCCCATGTTATCCCCACTGCAAGCGCCACATGCAAAATGAAAAAGTGTCAACGTCGTTCCAATTCAGTAACCCGGCAATTACTGGGCCGACCCTCAGCCCTGTTCTAAGTAGAAACGAATATGGACGCATGCTCGCATCAGATAGTACAGTTATATACATAGATATACAAGGCATGAGACAGTGACGAAAATAGGAAGAGACAGGCACGCAGACCGTGATGAAGCCCCAGCGCTTCTTTTCACTGCAGGACCACAGGCAGATGCGTGGAGATGGAATCCTGGGAATCTGCAGTGGAAATAAAACGAGAGATCGGTGAGGATTTTGATGGCTGGTTCAAAGTGTCGCCGGAGATTTCCTCGCGGATATTCAGCTGTAGCGCTCGCAATAGAGACGACATTGAGGCATTAAGGCTGAATATTCATCCGAATAGAGGGTATCAGTTTGTATTTTCGCTTGGAATCGAGCGTCAATAAGAGATTTCCTAGAGGATCATCTGTCATCGAGCGATGACATTGCACTGATGTTAAAACGCCCACGGGAAAAGGAAAGAAGACATAAGAATGTTTTGGATGGACCCGTAAATGTGGAACTATATTGTATTTATAGACATACCTACAGCATCTACGTTCAAGGTGAGCTTTAAGTTGAGGCCATGATTTATATTAAGCAGTTTATTATGTGCAGGCCGGGCCGTAGCCTAACCTCTACCGTTCGATACGGCAATGCCTACTCGGGGTATCGGGATAATAAGGACGACAAAGTTTATTGTAGGTAACCTTCAAAACCGGACACGGTTCGTCTCACAAAACTAACTTCAACTGGCTACGGCTGCTCCCCATGCACGGCTTTCTGCTCCTCGGAACTCCGAACTCAAGCATAGTTCCAAAAGGTGCAGGTCTCGCGGGTCTTAGCGGTAGGTTTTGCACCTATAGAAAATTTAGTGTACTTCAGACTATATCTTCGTCGTCTTAAACGTTGAAGATGCGATCGACTTGTTGGTTCACAAGCCGGCCATGATCGTGCAAAATGGCTTCATCGTTGATCTATTAGTTTCTGAGATATAACCGGAAATGTTAACCCGGCGGCCGCTGGGCCTCCGCGCCACCCGCCGGCCGCTGGGGGGGGGGGGCATACAGTTGCCCCCCCCCTTTACTTCCGCGACGATATCGTCGCAACGCGAAGAGATAGAGAAGCAAAACTTTGCACACGTCTTTCTGAATACCTAGCCGAGGTTGTGTCGAAATTTGGTGTCGATCCCATTTGAAATGACGTCACAGTGACGTCATAAGTAAAATTATAGATTTGCGACTCTCAGTTTCCTCACGATACATCAGATGTATGGGACCGAATATAAAAAGCCGATTATTGGTCAGGAACTAGATGGAAGTGTGCTTAGATGTTTTAGGATGACAGCAGGTGCTGTCTAGTTCATTTACAGTTGAGTTTTATGCTCAGCGTCATAAGAAACGGTCCATATCGGAAAACGACAAAATGTTATGACGTCACTGTGACGTCATCTTTGGTGCTACAACCACCAAACTTTCTCCAAACATTGCCTAGGTATTCATTTGAAGCTATGCCAAGTTTCACGTTCGTAGCTCATCAGGTTTCGGAGATTTTCCACAAAACGTAAAGGGGGGGGCAACTTTATGCCCCCCCCCCCCCCAGCGGCTCGAGGGTTAAAGTGCAAACCCTACCGCTTAATCTCGCGAGAGCGGTACCTACTTGCCACTTAGGTATCACCTAATTTCAATAATAATAACCATGCGCATTTACCTGCATTTAGGTACCTGTGATAAATATATTGCATTTTGATATCATTTAATTGTTCTAACTAGTTAGAGTTGGTAACGATGTGTAGACAGTGGCGGATGCGGTTTTGATGTGCGCTACTCAACAATTTCACTTTTTCACTTGAGTCACCTGTCTATCCGAGTTATGAGTTTGAATAGTAATTAGGTATGGTGAAAAGAAAGTAGAGCTCATTTAACTTTTATTCGATTCAGGTACCCAATAAAATCACATCACATGGAATGAAGCGACATTTTTCACGCCGTGTGGGCTATCACAACCAAATTATACGGCAGCTTGCTACGAAATGCAATTACTCGGTAGGTACAATATTCATCACACGCTATGGAATGGAGCAGCGAAATACGCTATGGAATGTCATTTCAAATGTCGATGCTTTGACACGTGAATCTAAAACTCACCGGCGGCACAAGTGACCGACAAGGCGTCAGCAGCGTTTGACAAGAAGAGCATGCCAGCAAAATACAAAAAAAAATTGCTGGTTCAAATGGCTCACCCAAAAACATGCCTTGCAACATTTAACACGTCAGTCAGGTAGAACATTCGGTTCATTGGAATGCCCCGCCACCCTATGTATATGACCCGAAGCCGTCTCCCAGAGTTCAACCCGATAGACCGGTTCAGGGAGGTCTGAGACCTGCACCATGACCCACCCCAATCACTTTGTGGCCACACCGACAAGACATTGATTCGTTAGGTTGGTCATGTCCCAGGGCTTTAGTTTTTTGACGATGGGCCTCAGCTGCTGGTCCACAGACTGGAACAGGCCGCTCTCGATAACCTGCCGGTAGGAGAACGGGCGCAGGTCAGCCTCAGTGGACAACGGTCCGACACGGGCGGTACTGGACAGCGCCATGTCCGCTACCGTTCCGTTGGCAGAGGCGCCGGGCGGCGGACGGGTCGTACCTTCCCCCCGCCGGGCGCTCAAACATGCATGCATGGCACAGTTGCCGCCGAAGTGGCCGCTGGCGACCGGCCGTCCGGCCATATTGGTTTCATCGGGCTGCCGGCCCCTCCGCCGTCATCTGGCCTCCCTGCACTGATTGGTGCCGCATAATGCATGAGAGGCGGCCCGGCGGGCCCGTCCAGTCCGGTCCGGCGCGGCGCGGCGCCGGCGTATTGGCCCGGCGAGGCAGCACACTGCTCTCACACAGCACACTCAGACATGACAGGCGGTACTGTCTGCAGCGGTCGGCGTGAGGTGAGCACTGAGTACTGGACGTGATAAATTACCGTCTACGTTCTCTAGAAGAAGGCATCAACTCCACTGTAGTACTATAATCTATAAGATAAACAAAGCAGATATGCCCAGAAATAAATACATAAGCCATACCTCCTGTCCGTGTCCCACCCGTGTCGTGTCCCGTCCGTGCCCCGTCCTGTCCCAGTCCCGTCCTGTCCCAGTCCCGTCCTGTTCCAGTCCCGTCCTGTCCCAGTCCCGTCCCGTCCCGTCCGTCCCCTCCCGACTCCCGTCCGTCCCCTCCCGACTCCCGTCCGTCCCCTCCCGACTCCCGTCCGTCCCCTCCCGACTCCCGTCCGTCCCGCCTTCTCACCGGCCGAGGGTCGCGGTTCAGCCAGCACTGCAGCAGACAGGGCCACATGCCGCTGTTGGTCAGTACGTTCTGCAGCCGACGCACCGCGGAGCCCTCCTCACGGGCGATGTGCTCCAGGTAGAAAAACTTGCCACCCTGAGGAAGGGTCGGGATATGATATTTCACGCCGTGCTCATTATTCAAGCCGGTCCCGTAGCTCAGTTGGTAAGAGCGTTGGACTCCGCGTGGTGAGAGCACGCGTTCCCGGTTATAACAGTCCGGGTTCGAAGCGCGACGGGCGCTTGACATTTATGGGCCTCCTGACAGGTATGGTTGCGGTTGGTGGCAGGCCGTAGCCAGGCGAAGTCAGTGAGGGGACCGGCCGTGCGCGGCTATGTGCGCACGTTAAACTTTGGACTCTAAATTCTGCCATAGAACTGGAATTGCGCGATCGGAGGGTAGAGGGTAGGGTCGCCGCAACAAGCTTCGCTTAGCGGTGGCTCTGTCCTTGTGAATCCTTCCTATCAAAAGGTTCGGACTAAATTTATAAAAAAAAAAAATCAAACCATGACCTGGTAGTGGATGCTTTGGCCGAGGAGTAATGACTATCTAACAAAGAAAACTGAAGTTATTGCCGTTAACCCTAACAAACGATAGACATTTTACGATTTGTTGAGTTCTACTCTTCAGGATACCGACAAAATCACTGCCACACCGAGTCCGACACAGGTGACAACAAAACGCTGGCGCTGCAATGTCAGCGTCAAAACTTCTCTTCAACAAGTCTTAAAGTTAATTAAGTGACGCACTCCAATGGGAAGGAAGAACAACGGATAAAAATGGCACCGGGCGAGGCACCATGCGAGCGATTGTGGTCCCTGAACTTACGATAAGCATACGATGCACATTGCACGCAATTACATACGTTGCGCTAGAGTCTGGACTCTGGACTTGCTTGAGAGTAACAACTGGTTCATTTAAGTCTTTAAAAGTGAGAATCATTCTAACACATTACAATACAACTCTACCGAACCAAAAGCATAAGCATAACCAATCTGTTACCGTTTCACACTGGAGCACACAGTTCGCAGTTACGTACCGGCCGTAGCACGCGGTGCACTTCCCGCACCACCTGGGTGACGTCACGCACGCTGCAGAGCACCAGCGTCACCACCACGGCGTCAACGGACGCGTCGGCTACATCGGCCATCTGCTCGCCGCAGCCGACGACAAAGCGCACCTCCTGCGAGAGGTGCGCCGCGCGAGCCGCGCACGCCGAACGGAAGTAGGCGCGGAAGTGCGGGTTGGGGTCAACGCAGGTCAGCTGAGAGCCGGCCGGGTAGTAGGGCAGGTTGGTGCCGCAGCCGACGCCCACCTGAAGACAGAAACGATGTCAAAGGCAAAGGTGATAGCCAGTAGGTATCTACGGGGTTAGTGCAGGCACAGGACGACAATCAGTTATGCACCGATCTGAGCTCTCCGAACCAACATTTTAGCGTTACGAACCAGCAATTGGGGTGAAGAAGCCGAGGATAACTCCAAAAATATCGTAGCGACGTGAGATTACGTGCCAGCCGTCTCCGAACTGTTCGCATTGAAGGGCCTAAAACTCGTCCGGGAGGTGGTTCAAAGCGTTTTATTCGTCGTGATGGAAGCAATCAGACCGCTTTGAATGGGCCACGGGTCCGTTCCAACTGCCATTCATTAGGCGTATTGGATCATTACGCAGTCACATCTAAAACTCATAAAACACGTGACCGCCCCCAGCCACCCATGATCTCCCGTCACCCCACGCTGCCCATGGGCCGCCTGCCCTTTGGTTCCTGGACGTAACCCGCGCCGGGCCGGTGCTCTGAAATTCCGCCCCGGGCCGCGGGGGGTGTTTGAACACCCCCCCCCCTTCTAACTCGGCTCCTGGGCCACGTAGCGACACGCGGTAAAGGGCAATCGAAAGAACGTCCAAAATAAGGACGAAAACACTTCGGTCATTTTTTGGGTCAGGTCAAAGGTCAGGTCACCAGAGGTCACCAAAGGTCAAATGTTCACTATTTCAACATTTTGGAAACTGCCAACGGCTATCTCGGGAACCGATAGAGCTACAGCGCCGCAAAAAAGCGCATTCGATAGCCCTTTAACAGACCTTTCTGAGTAATGTTCTCAGATTTGACCTCAGGTCAACGGTTTAGCCTCCAGAAGGCAAAAACTCCAAAAATAGCCGTTTTTACGAAAAACGTTTTTTCGGCAATAACTTTTGACTCAAAAGAGCTATGACATTACTTTTGCCAGCATCGTGTTCCTCTCGTCGAGACGCGTCGAATGAACTATAATTTGACCTTGAAAGGTCAACTTGAAAATTTGACCTCAGGTCAAGGTCATGACCTGACCGGAAAAGGTCATGTTGCATATCAGTCGATCCGCAACGTCGAGCCGAACACATCTAAGGCGTTTTCAGCGCTCTAGCACGCCTCTATCAGAAGTTATCATAAAAAACTGTTAGATTCTGTTCGTGACCTGAGATGACCTCGGGGACATAACGAGGGGTCACAGTTGCCATTTTCTGGTTCAGTGTGTCTATTTTACCTACATCTCGATGTTTGAGAGTGTCTAGAATAGCGTTCGTGCAAAACAGGCGCTTTTCAATTTTCTCCCATTGACTTAAAATGGAGAGGCCGCAAAATTGACCTGACCTTAGGTCAACGATATCAAAATTCCGAGATCTACATTTTATAGATAGTGTTGCTCTTATCAATCGCTGAAAGTTTCAAGGCAATCGTTCAGTCGGTGTAGCTATGACGAACATTCTTATTTTTTTCTGAGGTGAGGTCACTTGGCGTGACCTGGTGACCTGACCTAAGGTGACCTGGGTCTGAACTTTTCACAACATGTGCGGAAAAGATGCACGAACAGGTGTGCCAAAAACGGCGGCGCTCCGCGCCGCCGTTTTTGAGATATCTGCGAAAAACCGCAAGGGGGGTGTTCAAACACCCCCCCGGCCCGGCGCGGGGTAATTTAGGTACGTTTAGTTTATTTCATTCTGCTCAACTGAACATAAATTGAACTTACGTAGTTTCGATATTGCACAAAACTATTCACATCTTATCCAAATTTGAGGCTCAAATCGCAGCACATACCTACCTAGGTACCTATAACCTACCTCTCACTGTTAGGTATCAAACATCTTCCAATTTTAGTAGGTAAGTAAATTTATTGCCATCTCGCCCATTAACAAGTTCCGGGTTCGACTCCCGATGCCTACATAGGTAGGTAAGCGATGCCGTTGGCCCCAATGACCGTTCTGGGCTCACAGCAAACACACAGGCTACATTGAGAGGAGATGTGGCAATCGGGGCAATCTACGGTGTCGACTGTCGAGTCAAGCCTCTCAGCCAACCCTCCAGAGTTAACCTCTCTCGGCAGGCACTATCGTTCGGGTGCTCACCGCCGTATACCGGCTGCAGCTCCGTGGCAGCTCCCTCACCTCCAGAATGTTGATGGCGCCGTCTGTCAGCTCTGGCTGGGCCGACTTCATCTGCGCCATCGGTCTGAACAGGTCGGCCTTGAGAGGTCCCAGGTGGGCCTCTTGCTGTTCCAAGAACCGGCTGAACACCCAGGCCATTAGGCGATCGTGCAGACTGCCGGCCGTCTCGGGGCCCAGCGCCGCGCGCGCTGCCATCACCGCCAGCAGGCCCCAGCCCAGCAGGCTGGCCGGCCAGCCCAGCAGCCAGACCGACCAGCCCAGCAGCCAGCAGGCCCAGCCCAGCGCGTCCAGCAGCATCTTGCGGCACACAGCACACAGCAGTCAGCCAGCACACACCGGCACTTAGCAAATATGAGACTATGTACATACACTACACGGGTACGGTCAACAGTGTTTGGGATAAATCGCCGTTGGTTTGTTGACCGTTGTGGTCAGGCAGCCCGGTTTAAGTCCTTTACCGTTAACCCCACCCCTGGAAGTCAGCTCGCTGGCTGCGTGTGATGGGGCAATGCTATACTTACTTCATGAAACACCGCCTCGCGCCGGCCGGGCCGCTCACACGAGTCAGCGGCGGCGCACTCACGCCCCTGTACGGAGTTGTGTACTCGGCGGCCGTGAGACGGCCCTCGATCAGCGGCGGGCCCAGCGCACCGTCTCTGGCCGGCTGGGCCCCGTGCTGGCCACCGCACCGGGTCCGGCCGGCCTCGTACCGCCCGCGTGACGCCGCTATCGACCGCTCAGACGCCGCGATTCCGTGGGGCGCCGTTAGCATACCGTACGACTACGAGCTGACGCATCACCTGTCTGGGGGCAAGGTACTGACGGTGACGGCGACGCTAAGGCGCACACAGCGCAGTAGAGCATGACAGGGGCGTACTAGGGCCTTGGGCGTACTCAGGCCCAGCAATGGATGTGGCAAGATGAAAATGCGGCGTCACAGTGAGTGAGTGGCGCATCACCAGTCACTTATCGTACGAATCGAATTTCAGGTTGTCCGGTGTTATGATGATTTTCCAGTTCTGAGGTGATTCCTTGAGAGGATGTTGAACAGGTAAAGATAATATTTACATTTTACATGCTTGGGAAATGTGAGTGTAAGCAGGAACTTGCCACAAATCTTGCCCGTCTGAAATATGGTATCATTTTAACTTCACCCGCGAATATGGCAGTCAAAGCCAAACTGGCGCTTTACATTCATAATATTGCGGATAAATCGCGCCAAAAATGTGTTCGATTGTAAAAGCTGCAGCTGTCGATAAATACCAACTGACCACTCATATGACGTAGATCAGCATCATCAAGAGTCGGGACCAATTATAATCAGCTTCGTCACAAACTGGAATATCTTTTGTACACGACGATAACCTACGCTTGGCTGCGCTTGGCCTTTGTAACTAAACGCAAGGACGAAACCAGAGTATATAGAACACAGGGCCTTGGACGAAACGTATTTATTCCGTCGTGGTCCGTGGACGTTGGGGTTGCTACGCGCCCGTCTCCCATGATACAGTGTGCCTCAATCAATTGGTATAACTTACAATTTGATTTGCCAAGCAGTTTCAGTTTGAGTTGGTTGAGCATATACCTACCTAATTTAGTTGAAGGGTTTCCTGTATTTCAGATCACTGATCTCATTGTTGAGCATGTAAGTACAAGTAGGTGTAGATATTGTCTGTGGCTTGCTTTTCAAAAGTGGGTTGGCTCCAGGTTTATTTTCAAAGCTAATATAAGCCGGTCCCGTAGCTCATTTGGTAGAGCGTTGCCGTTGGACTCAGTGTGGTGAGAGCACGCGTTCCCGGTTATAACAGTCCAGGTTCGAAGTGCGACGGGCGCTTGACATATATGGGCCTCCTGACAGGTATGGTTGCGGTTGGTGGCAGGCCGTAGCCAGGCAAAGTCAGTGAGAGGACCGGCTGCGTGCGGCTATGTGCGCACATTAAACTTTGGACTAAATTCTGCCATAGAACTGGAATTGCGCGATCGGAGGGTAGAGGCAGGGTCACCGCAACAAGCTGTGCTTAGCGGTGGCGCTGTCCTTGTGAATCCTTCCTATCAAAAGGTTCGGACTAAATTTATAAAAAACAAGTTTTGGCAACATCCGAGTTCTGAATCTGCCTGAAAATTCTGACTTTAAATCTTCATTTTTGATTTTGTGGTGAAATACTCACATTAAAAACGTTTCTGCAAATATGGGCATTTTATGTTGACATCACTGTATGCAGCCAACTGTATGTTTTTGTTTTGTTTTTCTGGCTGAAGGGTGAGTGTCTAAATAAATAAATGTTTGGAAGCCAAGCCACTTTTGAAAAAGAACTATAGTTCTAGTAACTTGTCACTGTATTTTCCAATTCCTATCCACTTCTTACCATCCCCATCTTTCACTTTCATTTGCCATACCTATCTCTCCTATTCTTACCCCACTATTACCATTATGCCCATCACCATGTCTCTTTTCACCTCTATCTTTGCCTCTATGCTTCCCTGCCTCACTCTCTGCCTCTCTCCCCTCCCTCCTTTTTCTCTCACTGACTCACAGTAAGAGTGAGATGTTTCGCTCATTCTTTGTGTTGGTATGGGATGTGAAATATTTATCATGCACAAAATATTCAGAATGAAATTTCAATTCAAACTTGGTACAGCTGATTGTGCCAATGTGTACCTAACACTCAAGTTGAACACTATCATTGTTATCCCAGTAATGCTCAGCACAGTATGTAGTTGTTTCATGCTTTTACCAACATTCATTTCATTATTTACCAAATATGGCTATTATGAAAAAGAATGCAAACAATGAAATGAACCATGAAACCATGAAAGCAAACCATTCTCAGTGTGAGCACCAATGACCTTTGTAGTCTGAGCGACACAAATCCCCAAATCATCATAATCATCTCTTGGTATGTCCTGGTTATGACAGTGCAGCGTCATTGTTGGGCGGCAGGTCGCACGTGGAGCAGCAGCGCGGCAGGGACCTCCGGGAGCGTCTGAACCACCGCCGCCGACACGAGGAGCGGCGCCCGTCGCTGCGCTCCCGATCCAGATCGCCCGACAATGACAACAGGTATTGACGGGCATATGTTAGAGCAGTGTACTTCCATGAATTATGGACAGTCTGCTGGACTCTGCTGGTTTTTAATGGGTTAAATTCACTTGCTAATAATAATTCACTAGATATTTGAACATAAGCTCAAGCTGCAATTATTAAGTGGTGAGTACCGCTTTGTGATCTTTCTTGTACCTTTTATTTATCAACTCCTCTGGCACATTAAACTCAGATTATTTCGGTTTAGTTTTTCAAAGATACCATACCGTTTGATAGCCTGATGCTAGCTGGCTAACTCACCCCTCTATCGATATCATGGTCTGCCTTGAGTACGCCTCGGCTAATGTGTCTTGCGTACCGCACGTTCGCAGAAAGACCAGGGGTCCTCTGTCTCCGCCGTTCAGAAAGCGCGGCACTCGGCAGCGGCGCAACTCGAGTTCGTCCTGGCCCAATGAGTCCACCGAAAACGACGCCCCTCAGCCAGAGAGGTCAGTCCCGCGCCGCTAACCCGGTACACGAGTGTAAACTTAATCCAAAAAAAAAAAATATCGACAGGTACGAATGTTTTGTTTTCCACGGTTTTACCTATCATACATGTTTTATCATTAACTAGAGGTACAGGTTTACGCGATAACTGTACATATGTTTTGATATGTATGATTAACGGATGCATTAGTTTGGGTGAGTAACTTGTATTTTAAATGGTATTATTTGTGTAGAACTGGGTAACTGCTTTTAATTGAACTGTAAAATATGATGGTGATGCATAAGAAAGACCAGGGGTCTTCTGTCTCCGCCGTTCAGAAGGCGCGGCACTCGGCAGCGGCGCAACTCGAGCTCGTCCTGGCCCAATGAGTCCACCGAAAACGACGCCCCTCAGCCAGAGAGGTCAGTCCCGCGCCGCTGACCCGGTACATTGGTGGAAACTTAATCCAAGAAAATATCGACAGATACGAATGTTTTGTTTTCCACGGCTTTATCATGCATTTTTATCATTCATGGGTACACGGTTTTATCATGCAGTTCCAATCCCGTGCAAATGAAGTAGTGATCCAAAGAAAGACACTTTTTGTCGTCAAATGTCTTTAAATATGTGCGTTTTTTTTTACCTTAACTGGACGGTGCTTTCCTACAGGACTCGTTTCGAAAAAGAAACCGACCCTGTTATACTGGCAAGAAGGCAAAAGCAGCTTGACTACGGCAAGAACACGCTTTGCTACCAGGAATATATCGATACAGTCCCAAAGTAAGTCCGTTAGCTTTTCAATGGGCTTAATTTGCAAAAATTAATGTTGGTGCAACGTTGTTCTTTTATTAGTCCCTCACTGCTGCTACGTGTGTTCAGGTTCGACGTAACTAGTGATGACTAGTGGGAATGAAATTAAATGATATGCAATTTCAGTCGGTTTATCGGGGTTTTAGATGTTTGCAATGCGAATGGCGGTGTTCAAAGAAAGTATGGTTCTTTTCGCTCTCGATGTTGCTATGATGATACGATAATCTTATTTTTGTGTCATTAAGTTGGTGTTTATATGTGGCGTTGTGAGAGTGAAGACCAATGTCATGGCCAGGTCATTCTATTGCGAATTCTTATAACGTTCACGCTTGTATTCCCGCCAGGCACAAGCGGGAGCCGTTCCATCCGCGAACGCCGGTGAAGACGCGGAAGACCAGCCGGCGTCGGTGGGACTCGGCGATCAAAAACTGGCGGATTCACCTACACTACTGGAACGAGTGAGTGGACGTGTCCCGGACGGGCCGGAAGGAACTACCCAGGCGGGCGCTAGTTTTTTTAAACCAACGAAAAACGTTTTTTCATTGTCTACACACAAAGTTGTTCTAATATTTATGTAAAGTGTTGATGTAGGTGGAGGTAAAACGTATGCCGTCTAATCCACGTCTTTAATGCTGTCGAATTGGTATTGTCTGGAAATGCATAATGACAATAATTTCAGTGTCCGTTATAATCTTTCGAGCTTAGCTTCAGTGTTGCCATAGCTGCGGGTGTGCATCTTTCATCTTTCTGCGGGTGCTGCTCCTTACCGTGCACTCACCGCCCGCCCGTCGCCTCTGTGTTTCCAGCCCGGTGAAGCTGGCCGCGCTGCGCAGTCGCAAGGACTCTGACTCGATCGGCTCTGACTCCGAGTCGGCCGGCACGGCGTCTGTGGCCAGCACGCCGGACCGGCGCCGTGACAGCGACAAGCCGCCGCCGGCGCAGCCCATCGCCGTGAAACGGAAGCCGCCCCAGGAGCCGGCCACAATCAAACAGGAGCACACGGCGGCCGGCGACCACGCCACAGAGGAGCGTCACAAGGCGGTCGACCTCAAACAGGACACGAGGACAGTGAAACAGGACGTCAAACAGGAGCCCGGAGCCGCGAAACGGGAGCTGTCGTTCCCGGTGGTGGTCAAACAGGAGCCGATCGATCCGGACCTGATCAAACAGGAGCGGCTGAGCCCGCCGCCGGACGCAGCGAAACAGGATCTGGAGCAAACCGTGGTGAAACAGGAGCGTTCGGAGCCGGAGCCGGAGCCTCCTGCGGCGAAACAGGAGCCAGAGTCGGAGGACGAGAACCAGGATCCTAGCGAGGAGTACGACCCGTCCTTCTCCTGGGCAGATGACGTCGAGGGCCTGGTGGAGGAGCTGGGCGGGGCACCGATCTGAACGACTGTGACGCACGGCGCGTGCCAAAGACAGATCGTCGCCGCCACCCGTACTTCAAAACGCGGTCTGATGTGTACTTCTTATATTGTACTTCAAGATGCCCTCGGACTTGAGAGCGTTTGATGCAGGTGGTGTGCGAATGGATTTATCGGACGTTTGTCGAATCCCGTTGAGAACTTCAGCAGCGGTTTTCGAATGTTTGTAACCAAGAGCATTTGGTAGGTTTTATCGCAAGCCGCTCACAGGCGTAGAGCTACTCTGTCTTAAGAACATTATGTATTTGTGGACGCGACACGTTCAATACATGCTATGATTTTCATGTTTGTAGGGTCCTCATAAAGCTCGTTGGACAAGGTCTGAGGATTTCGCGTCTTGAGAGAGCAAGTGAATTTGGCTCATCTCTACGGCTATACTGGCGCAATTAAAAGAGAGAGTAGCACATTGGAGGGTCGGCTAGCTTGCACAGGAACTGCCGTTGGAAAATTTTGTCTTTCAAAATATTCTAGGCCAAATGATGCATTTCCAAAAAATTCGCACTTCCAGAGTTAAAGACGTACTTGAAACGTCCACCCGACAGAGTCCTCAGTGTACCAACTCGGTCGTCCCGGGCAGGCAGCCTGCCATACTGCCGGCTAAACGCCACACCAACAGCCACCTACTACGGGTCAGACACTTGTATTGAGCCCGAATGAAGTTGTCTGCTAGATTAAGGCACCGTACAGCGGCCGGTTCACGCCGGATTGATGATAGCGCGTCCGGGCCCGGCGGCGGCTCCAAAAACAGGGTATAAAACACCGACCCCGCTCAGAGTGTATGGGTGATAATGTCAACAAGCGCTGCTCACAGCGTACCTGCAAGGCACTGGCGGCCGTGTTCGGCCGGGGAAGGAAGGCCGATGGCACTTGGCGCCGTCTCTGGGCTAATACAAACTGCTGCGGACGCCAGGGACGCCGCAACGAACACGCAGTCGCACCGAAACAAACCCCGCGCGCGCCGGAACAAACACACAGTCGCACAGAAACAAACACACAGTTGCACCGAAACAAACACGCAGTCGCACCGAAACAAACACACAGTCGCACAGAAACAAACACGCAGTCGCACAGAAACAAACACACAGTCGCACAGAAACAAACACACCCGCTCGTGCCGGCCTCGTAAAGAGGCGCAGACGCTTAGCGCTGCCACATGGCGATACATCCCATTTAACTTTCACCCCCCCCCCCCCCCCCCCAGGATACACACATACGCACACGCCAATATCAAACTGGAAAGTCTGGCGACACGATCACAATACTGCGGCCGCCGCCGCCGCTCCCACCTCCCTCAGAGGAGCTCCGGAGCGACCTTTCCGCAGCGGAGCGGCTGGCGGCGGCCGCCCACACTGGTCCCCGGGTTCTGAGCGTCCGTCCCACCTCTCACTGTTCCTCGCCCTTCCTGCCGACGCCCTCACTCTGCCTGACTCTCCGCCCTCTCTCCGCCAGTCCACTGGCTCTCGGCGATCAGCGGCGCCACGGTTTGCGGTCGATGCCCTTGTTGGCGGCAATGTGTTTATATTTGCAGGAGGTGCCGTATGAGCAGTCGGAAGTGCGCCAGAAGTAGCACTCGCCGTCACCCACGGGACCGGTGAGCTTGCGCGTTCCGCCGGCGCCAGCGCCCACTGGCCTGTGGAACACGGCGGAGGGTCAAAGTATGTCCATGCCGATCAGTGTCAGCCGTCGGGACAGATATCATTCACAGCAAATGGGGCAGTGGATGGTTGGTAGGTTCATTAGCGGTCAGCATCTTATAGTCTGACTCAAGTCTGACTCAAATTCAAGGCGCTGCAGAGGTCGCTACTCAACGCAATGCTATACATGCCTTTTTGCCAAACTATGCGGCCACACTAACAAACAAGGCGCAAATACATACCTAGCCACGATATTCCCAGAGAAACGAGCGTTTTGTACGCACGTTCGCTGAAAGCCCATTACTGAACACTGATAAATAGTGATTAGCTACCACGCCTCTCCATTCATAGCACATCCTAAAACAACACATCCATCAGATATCAGCAGTAGCTCATAACGCAGCATCCCAACACTGATCACTCACCCCTTCTTGCCGATCACCACCTTAGCCTGTCCGTCCACGATTGGATTGTCGGGGAACTTGATCTTGAGCCGGTTGCCGTGGAACTCCAGTCCCTGCAGGTGCTGCATGGCCAGACTGGCGCCCTTCTTATCGCCAAAGTTGACGAAGGCGCAGTAGCGGTCGGGGAGGACGCGTACGCTGGTGACGGCGCCGTGTCTGCGACCGGAGCGGGGTCGGGTCATATCACACAGACCGAGTGAGGTCACAGGAAAGGGTGTGGTCACAGGACACCGGTCAAGCACGGGAACGGGTATGGTCGAAGGATCATAGTCACAAGGACCGGCGTGTGGTCACAGGACACAGAGAGAAAGATCATAGGAAAGTGTATCAGCCACAGATCAACTGGTCGTTGGCGCGTTATGGGGGCGCCACCAGACGACAGTACAATACAAAGTAAAGGTACGAACAACCCACGGCCAGTAGCACGGAACACACACCTATAGACCTGAGACCCGCACAGTGGAAACTAACACTGGTAGTTGTCGGGGTCAATCCACACGGGTCGGCGGGTCCCTCGGAGCGGAGCAGTCCACTCACCTGGCGAACAGGTCTCGCAGGTCGCGCTCGGTCACCGTCTGCATGATATTGCCCACCCAGAGTGAGCGCAGCCCTTCCACGTTGGAGGGGTCCTCCTTGGGGTCGACGGGCCGGCCGGCGGCCGTCGGCTCGCCCGTGTCATCCTCCGAGTCGGAACTGTCGTCCGGTAGCTGGCGCACGTCCCCGCGCAGCAGGGCATCCAGCGCCGCCTGGCACCGACAGAACAGTCAGCAGACGAGCATGACAGCCATTGGGAAGGAGAGGGGGCACAGAACTGGGAAGGGTTTAACCATAGGGTAACGCTAGTGGCAAGACTGGAGTGCTCGGCACGTCCCCATTAACTTCCCTTAGTAATGAACCAATCGAAAGACGTGAAAACTGCCGGAACAGTACTACCCTGAAGATCTGTTAGACAAGTTATTGAATGTTGTGTTTCCTTGAATCCAGTAACAGTCCACCCGACTGTATTTCGTTGGAGGGATCCCGCTAGCCGGGGTGCCTCTCACCTCCTCAGTTTTGTACTGTCGGACCGCCGCTCTGGCGTTGTCCCTCGGAAAGCCCATCTGCATCAACTTGAACACCTTAATTTTCTCCAATTCTTGATGGCATTCGTCCACGTTTTTGTCAAGTTTAAGTACTTGCCGAAAAGCTTCTTCGGCTTCCGCATATTTCTGGAGAGCGGGAAAAACAGTCAAGGTCAAAGTTATGTTCGTAAATAAACCCAACTTCCATTGTAAGGATGTAAAAACATCTTAAAAACTTAACCTTTCTCAAAACAATGGCAACTGAAGGCATTACAAATACTTCAAAGCGGCGCGGTGTGCCAATTCTTTCCGTTTGCACGCCTCCCAGCAGCAGTGACAAGTAGCCCAGTCGAGGCTGCCGGGAGCCCCTCGCGCCTCACCAGTTGTCCCAGCAGCGCGCGACCCCGCCGGAAGAAGCCTTTCGGCCAGGACGGATCGATCTGTATCGCACGGTCAGCGTCTTTGAGCGCCCTGGAACAAGACAGACGCGACTACATCAGCTCTGAGTCACGCGCCTGAAATCCTCAACCGATTTAGTATTCAACACTCTTTGGATACATACAGCTGCTGAAAAACTATAAGCCACATCTATCCCGCTACAAAGTCCGTCTGTAATGAGTTCATCAGCAGGCTGTCGTTTCCCGACACTCCCGAGTAACTCACTTATCGTACTGCTTGAGCCTCTCGAAGCAGAAGCTGCGGTTGCCGAAGAAGCGGTGGTCGTTACCGTCCAGTTTGATGGCCAGGGTGAAGACGTTGGCGGCGCGCAGGAACTCGCCCTTCTTGGCCAGCTGGTTGCCCTCCATGGCGTACGCCTGAGCCTGGAGCCGCAGCGCCGGCGGCGGCTCCACGGAGGACGCCTGGAACGGTCAGAAGTCAGCGGTCAGCGGTCAGAAGCCAGCGGTCAGCAGTCAGAAGCCAGCGGTGACTGGTCATGTGCCGGTCGGCACGGTACGACAGCAGCGAGCGGACAGCAACACGAGTCAGTGAGGCACGCCGTTCCTCCCGTTGGAGCAGGTTTACGGTTTTCTTTCCACTTATCCCGTGCTACCAAGCCCTGTCCCCAGCACCCAGTGGTCCCGACTTTAGTGCCTACCGACTGCATTTCTCAGTTGGTAGAGTACCAACACTGAAGACTATCGCTACCATTGACACGGCCTCGCCCCAGCCCTCGGCCCTCCGTTTCCGATCGGCAGCCAGTGTTCTCAGACCGCCCCGTCGACGCCAGTCCACGGAAGACAGGCGAGGAGACTCACGTGGTTTGCCGGGCGGCTGGACGGTCGGCGACATTCCGTCTTATTGCCGTTGGAGCTGGCCACCTTCTCCTGGGCGGCCTTTCCAGACGCCTTGGCGAAGGCCGAGTTAAGGTCCAGGCCCTCACCGTCGGTATCCTCGTCAGACCTGGGCAGCGCACACGTGGCGGCGTCAGCAGGGGTTCGGAGCGAACAGCAACACAATGTACAATGTCTCAATGTACAATGTACACTGCATAGTGTATCAATATTTATAAGTTCATTCATTCGAAAGCACCATGATTTATTTAAAATTTATGCGGCGACCGCAAAGCATTTGGGGTGAATTTGCACAACTTTTCAGGCATAGGGTAAGGGCGGGTAAGAGTACGCGGGCGACAAGAGTACGCATCAGCTGTTTTGGTTGCTTAGCAACGCGGGTTTGTCGAGTTCATGAAGTGACATGAAGCCGCCAGTGCGTGCTTGTCACCAACGGAACGTGGGCGTTGAGCGGCGACGCTGTTGAGTTTAAGGCGATGAATATTATTTTCGAGCGTTATGATATTATTATAGTATGGTACAATAATTTTGATACTTGGCAGTTGAGATCAGGTACATTTCCGTGATTGTTGTGGGAAACTTGTGAGGTTATCTGGGGAAATACTGTGCAGTGCAATATTATGTTTCCGAAGTTTTGCACAACGTTTCGGGGTTGTTTTGTGCGCGAATTGCATGTACGGTAAGAGGACGCACTGGTCAGGAGGGTAAGAGTACGCAGAATTATACATTAAATCGAATATACAGAAATATAAAATTATTAATATATCGCTCAATGACGTTTGTTTTGTAGGTATATCATCAATGGGGCACTGTGATGCAGATGCGTACCCGAAATTCTTCCAAATACGAGTTATTCTCCCTTTCGATTGTGCATTTTTTTTTTTTAAGAAACACACGACGTGATTATTTCCTGATTTATAGACGTGAAATATTTATTTTAAGTTTTTCTTTTTGGATACTAGAATTAACTTAAATGCCTTCTGAGTTTGAAGTTAAGCATTTGGACACTTACAAGCTGCATAGGTGTGTGTTCATATGCTTGCGTACTCCACCCGCCTGGTGTGCGTACTCTTACACTACACACCCCATATGGTAAGAGTACGCAACTGCAGCGGTTCAGAAAATGTCAGTTTTAGACCACTTCCATTTACGCTGAAGGATCGTTGCCCCATGGGTTGATGGCTAATTCAATGAACTTTAATATTCCCTATTTGCGATTTCTTTCTTTCAAATATTAAACAAATGAGAGCAAGAAATCCACTAAGTGCGTACTCTTATACGACTTCACCCTAAGTAATGCAACACAACCATTACATTTGGGGCGATTCTACTATTACTGCATTCCAGAGCATGACAGACTGAATGTTCTACACGTTGGAATGAACACAAAATAGGCAAGGCGCGCAACGTTTCATAGGGGATTGAGTGTAACGCATCGTTTAGCTGAATAAATCAAACGCTAAGCGCGGCGTAAATGTGTAAGTAAGGATAATACATCGAAATCCTGTGGAAAACGAGCATCCGTAAATTATCGCCCGCAGACAATGAACCCGGAGCATCTGTCGAACTTACTGGACATTCTCGTTACGCGTTTCACTGCAGTTATTGTTAACGTTCACCGAAGTGGAACTATTATCAACTGGCTTCTTCTTTTTCTTTTTCTTCTTCTTCTTTTTGGCGTCGCTCTTTTTGTTTTCGTTTTTCTGCGCCTCCTCTTCCTTCACTAGTTTGGAAGCGTTCGCCTCGACGGCCGCTCCATCCGTGTTCGTATGATACCCCTCTGAAACGGCAGCAGGGTCAGAGCCGCACCGAAAAATGATTCACCAATCCATATACCGGCGTCGAGCATGTCCCTTGTTTGCTCACATCAGCAGTTGTGCATAATGTACAGCGCGTAGTAAAAAAGGTACCAATACGACTTGATGGGTCCCAATATGGACAGCTAGAAGTACCGACCCATCCCATCCATACCCCCCCCCCCCTCCGTCCTCATTCAACCTCATCGACCCAGTGACAGACAATCGCATCTGCAGAGGTTCATACCCTCCAGTGTGACCCAGAAACATGATCCCCGTCCATTCACGACCAGTCCAGGCCTGCTGACCAGCCCGGTCCGTAGTCCGTGCGACCGCTCGCTGCATTACAACAGCCAGGAAGTAGCCATGTTGATGTATAGTCGACTACAGAATGATGTTCCACTTTTCACAGGCAATTATTTGCCTGGAGTGGTAGGCTGTGCCGCATCACACGGGCTGAGTTCACAAATTTTAGCTTTGTCCCAATGCTCACAATCGACACGCCTAATTGCGTGATAAACGGCACAACTTAGCGCTCCGGTCAACTGATAGCTTCTGAGGAGTGGAACATAATTCTGTAGTCGACTATACTGTGCCGGTGTACCCAGTATTGACATCTAACATGTGTACCCAGACCTAACACATACCCCACGAGTCCACGACCCACTGCCGTCAGTTAGGGCATCAGATCCACGGCTGGCCACACCAGCCGACGGGCCGAGGGGAGGGGAGGGTCACTCACCGTTCCGCGGCCGCTGCCGGCTGAACTTGGTCTCGCGCAGCTGGTCGTCGGTGAAGTGGTGCCGGTGCGGACAGTTGCACGTGTAGTCCGAATAGGTGTCATCGTCGTCATCGTCATCGTAATAGTAGTCATCCTCGCTCTCCTCGTCACCAAATAATGGGCCTGGAGACAGAAGAGCACTAACAATCAGCGGCGTGTTTCAATGGTACCACAAAGCACATAGCGCACCCACAGAGACGCATTAAGATAGTATGGTCAAAAGTTCCGAATACACTCTAGTTTGAGTTACGCATTCAACCATTGCAGTGCCTCTCAGCCGGCTGCTGGAGCTGACGTGTGCTCCCCCGGCGGCCAGCAGTCCTGAATTCGACACCCCATTGTCCAGTCTCTGGACGAACAAAGTGCACTGAACAGACACTACTATAGATAGACACATATAATGCATCCACTTGACACAACACCTGACGGAGGCCTAAGAAAGGCACCGTATACACACAAATAGCGACGAATTCCCAAATATGCGCCAACACACAAAAACATGTGTCGAATAATACATACACACCACAGACATGGCACATGTCAAATAGGCACCCGGCTGATCTGAAATCGTCTGACAGACAACGAGATAGTGCAGAGGCCAGGGGCTCCGCTACCAGGAAAGGGGGGGGGGGTCGCATGGTTCCCGCCGATCCGCCCCCCCCCCCATAATGTCATCTTTGTAATACAGCCTATAGGATGTTTAAGAGTGTGCATTTTTGGGTTCAGACCCCCACCCACCCTTGAAACGGTGGCGGAGCCCCTGGGCCGGGAGGGGCTGATAAATCCAATAAAAATTACCAGACATGATGAAGGTGCATGCTTAGTGGCGCCAAAATAAGCACAGCGTAAAATTGAATTAGTGCATGCAGTGGATGACTGTATCGATGTCAACGCTCATTTAATGTAAGTTGTTAGCAGTGCACGCTCATAGGTGGGCACATAATCTTTTACTGGCATGGCAGCTGACATAACTGTAATGCCCGTCTGAGTAAGCACAACTCAGTTTCAAGTGGTTCAACTGCATAACACAGACTATCGTTCACCGAATCAAGTGGCCAACAGCACAGGTCAGTTAAAGACAACGGAATATCTACCCACAAAGTATGTGACAATCTTATCTCTCAGTCAGGCGACCCACCCAGACGCGGCCGATAACACCGCACGCTCCTGACCGTCCAATCGTGCCACTTCCCGGCCGAAGGGACGGCCCCTCAGGCTGCAGGACGAGCGGCCGGCCACTCGCCGCGTCAGCCGAGCATGGGCTAACGACCCACCACCTGTTGTTTACTTCGGTGTGGAGATGTGACCGAGTGGCCAGCGCTGTCCGTGACGGACGCTGCGTGCTGTACCGGCTGAGAGGCGGCCGGTGGCGCACAGACTGGGTGGGTGGAGGACAATTGGCCAGCAGGGGAGGCACTCTCCCCATTGGGCAGCAGCCCAGCCCGTCTCACCAATCCTTTGCCCCTGGCCCCAGTCTGCCGGCCTACTACACCAACCTACCTGGCGACCTGTCCCATCGACCCAGTCCGGTAGCCTGCTCCGCCTGCTCCAGTCTGGTTAACTCACCCAACGAGCATAGTCTGCCGACCTGCCCCAACGAGCATTGTCTGCCGACCTGTCCCAACGAGCATAGTCTACCGACCCGTCCCACCGGCCCAGTCACTGCTCAGTGCTCAGTCACAGGCCGATCGACTTTCGACCACACAGACGTCGGAAAGGGCCGTCCCGTTCACCATTTGGACAGTCTGGCGTTCAGCCTAAATTACGTCGGTAGCCTAGAGTTAAATGACCAAATAACCGGGAACAGGGAACCGAGACTTCAACTCGCCAGCAAGTGCGACTTTTGACTAGGTCACAGTGTTACCCGCCAAGTGTCTATAAGGACCGGGCCCAGATGCATTAGCTGGTGTGAGCGTGACCCATACATTTCCTATTGACCGGCGAGCCAGGAAGCACTTCCATTCAATAAATGCTCAGTTCAGGACGTCGTGAAACATCGCAAGTAAGCGTTGTTACCCGTGGAGTGAACTCTTTCATGGTAAAGCCCGAAGCAAAACAAGTACAATGCCTACTCGTCGAAGGATACTAATGCGTTTTGAACATCTAATCATTACATGTCCAGTATCTCTCTTGAAAGCACATATGTCAAGTGTCAACTGTTTTTCGTTATCCACGTTTGACCGTTTAACACTTGCCGTATGTTGCTTAACAGTTGATTATAAATTATCAATTCTCAAACCTCCACAAAAATCAGTTTCAGAATCAAACTTTGCTCGCATAATCCAATGTTTACAGGAAATCAGTGCAGAGTTCCTGCGCTGGCTTGGACCGACCATGAAGCACCATTGTTGGGTCGTTTATCTGAGACGCCGGCGCCTGCTATCGGGCGCTGCAGGGCAAAGTACACCCCCCCCCCCCCGAGCCTCGCCGGGGCGACGGGCATGTGCGGTGTTTCCCGCGACCCCCTCCCATCCCCCTCCCAGTGATAAACTGGCGGACGACCGCACTGCTGCCGGTCGGCCAGGCTACAGACTACCCCACAGAGAACTATTACAGTGGCGGTAGCTTCAGCGAATTACGGCTTATTTGGTTTTCTAAGGTTCAAACTTGTTGACAGTCCAAACTTGGTTACTTTACATAAAAAGGGTGGACTGACTATAGTATTCACTCACAAAAAAAAAGTTCAAAATGCCTACCTAAAGGACCGTTGCACAGCCCCTCAGATCGCACTGCGAGCCACGCCGTATACTGCCAAGGCGCGGCCGACGGAGTGCTCGGAGGCGGTCAGGACAGCCGTGATGCGAGCCGTCACGGTCGGAGGACGATAACTCAGCCGTCACGTGACAGACGGGCGGCGCCAGGGGAGCAGAGGGGAGGGGAGAGGAGGCGGGCTGTACCGGTGCGGTCAGCCGTGACGCCGCGGCCCGCACGTCGCAGTGTGCCCGCTGCCCCGTATCCTCCCCACAGCAGCATCGCAGCTCTGGGGACAAACGGTCGGCGGTGCACAGAGGCGGCGGGCCGGCGCCGGTCAGACGGACGGCCGCCGAGCCGCTGGCCCCGGCGGTGCCAGGCGCGGCCGACGGCTGCTCCGACCGACCGCGGTCACCGCGGACAGTGCAGCTGCAGATAGCCGGCCCGTCGGGGTCGCAATAGGCGCGATAGCGACCCGCCACAAGTGCATACCGCGCGCCGGCCGGCACATGGCGAAGGCCAAAAGGGCCGACCGGAGCGGCGCAGTTCCATCAGGCCCGTACATAAATACTAAATAGGAAACTCCCAGCCACAGTTAAGCTTCAACATTGTCAAATCCGCCGATGTTCCATTCGCCACTACCATTATCAGCAGATCTAATCAAACTGCCCGCAATGGGCTAGGGTACTTCATACAAAATATTTTCATTCATACAGTGTATCAGCGGCGGTTGACGTCGACTGGACTGTTCCGGAGAGATCACGAGAGCACGGACTTTGGTCCTGGGTGCCGCGCCGCGCTGCACCGTTCAGCGCATAGCCCACGTCGCACTGGGACAGCGCGACGTCACACAGCCGACCGATAACGTCAGACACGTGTAGAAAGCCGGGCGCCGGTTAACAGTTTGCAACAGCGGCGGATCGATTCACCGGCGGCGTTTAGTATTTTGTATGGTGGCGGCGCGCCGGCCCTGGTTACACCTTGACCATCGATCCCCCCAGCAGGTGCTCCGACGTGCACCATCCACCCTCCCTAACCGCGGCACAGAGCCAGTGGCAACCTCGGGAGGGGGAGGGACGAGGGTACCAGCGACATTCACGACCGTACACATAGTTCGCTGTAACAGTTTGCACTGTGGCCTGCATAGGTGGCCAGGACGCTCTACAATCACTCGCCATTAATTACTTTGTGCAGCAGCATTCCTTTTGTCATAATAAAAGAACATATCTCGTGATCGGTTGCTCACAAAATGCAAGATGATATACAACCACGAGCTAATTTTAGCGACACCTATCGTTAGCTTCTATTTTAGAAGTGCCTCATCAAGTTTACCTCAGATAAACTTCTGAATTTTGATGTTTAGTAACTTTCTCTTGCACCAGCTTTTTCCTTTTTACCTGGTTACCCGGTATTTTGTTTTCCGCAAAGACTCGATGACTTAACCCTCGCCCGTATAGGGGGGGGGGTCGAACGGACCCCCCCATGGTTTTTCGCGAATAACTCGCGTAAAAAGCTGCCGATCGCGACGAAACTTTCAGCACCCTCGCGTTAATCAATTTTACACCTACCCTGAAAATTTCATGACCCTGAACCCAATGACCTTTGACCAGTGACCTACTTTTCGAGACCATGTTTGGCCGGAATCGCGATTCGGCGTATGTCGGCTCGCATTAGCCGCGCGTTTGCAGTCTTTTCGTGGTTTCAAGCGTTCAAACATGTGATATGATGTTGCCCCCATGCATTAGGGTGGGTGTCAAGGTCACCTGAAGGTCAGGTCAGGTCATTGACCTTTGGTGACCTCGGTTCACTTTTTCGAGTTTTACATGTTTCTAGGCCAGTTTTTGGTGCTGAATTCGAATTTAGCAACCATATGAACATTTACGAAGTAGTTTTTGTGCCTTCGTAACATGTTACGAAGCTGTCAGAGGCGGTTGACACCTACTAGGAATACCCGGCAGGACCCCTACTGGTTGACCTGACCTGACCTGACCCGACCTGGACTAAATGCATAAAGACATCATCTGTGATCAAAACTAACATGATATTCGTGATCAGTGCCCCGAAAAACCCCATAGCAGCCACACTTTACGACGTTCTAACAGGTCCCGATTTTCCCGACTTTTGAGTCACTGACCTGACCTGCAAGGCAGTGGCGCGGGAACTTCTTCCAGACTGGGGGGGCTTAACCATAATAGAAATCAACCTAGGGTACCCCCAACTCTAGTTTTCTCACCGGTTTTAGGCCACTTATTTTTCAGACCTTGGCCTTTTCAACAACAAAAAAAAAAAAACGAAAATATTTTCAAAAAGTGAGGTATTCCGTCTCAGCTGAGTGAAGAAACTGCCGTTTTGGCAACCTGGAGTAAAGGTTTTAATCTGCCAAATGAGTTGCCGAGCCAGTGAAATAGGTGGATTTTTCACTTACATGCTTTCTTCCTTTGTGACCCACAACCCCTAATTTGGGGAGGACAAGCTGCCCGACGGTTCCTGGCCTCATGAAACGTTGTGGGGCACCGCCCCCACGGCCGCAGAGTTGTGGGGGCAAGCTTCCCCCACTGCCCCCTCCCCCGGTTCCCACGCCTATGTATGAATCTATGAAATTATGTTGGTAGATTTCCGATTTCGATTCCTCCAGCTGGGGGGCTCAAATACATTACGAGCCCCCCCAGCCGAAAAGCTGGGGGGGCTCAGCCCCCCCCCTAGCCCCCCCCCCGGTTCCCGCGCCACTGCTGCAAGGTCAACCAATGACCTAGGACCTTAAAATTAGGTATCATCGGCTTCCTCTCGTCACGGGCAACACGCTCGTTTTTTCCGCGAAGCTCTAGCTCTATCAGGGGCGAAACGGCAAGGGGGGGTCCAACGGACCCCCCCCCCCCCTTATACGTTCGCGGCTGGAAAAACACCAATACGGGCGAGGGTTAAGTAAGACGAGCATAATCAAGGCCCGTCTTTCAGCTGACCATATCGAAAATGATCAATAGAATGTATGTAAAGTGTACACACATCGCGTTACTATAAATCAGTGAAAACACCAAGCTAAGAAAGTAAAAAGTGCAATAATGATTAATGACCCACCGAAATTAAGTCAAAAGTAGGAGATGCAAAGCCACGCTAGCTGTAGATAATTACAGCCCGTAATGGAAATGTACTGCAGCTTTCCAACGCACTAAGCACACTATGCAAAAACGATAGGTACCTAATCAACAAAGGATTCAGGCCTTACGGTCTGTCATGCTACCACCAAGTTAACGTCACTGCCAATAGCACGCGCCACGCAGTCCTTTGCGTCACTACAGGACAAGTAAACACGAGGGGGGACAAGAGGGAGACCCCAAGTCTAGCTCTGCTGGATCAGAGGGAAGACCCCGGGCGGGTTCCTAACAACCGGCCGCCACCATCTCTGGGCGAATTTCTCAGAGCCCCAACAAATCTAGCGAGCAAGAGCTGAGCGTGGTTCACACAGAGTCCCTTTCCTACTAACTTATTCAGTATTCCTCCTTCAGTATTCATTCAGTGACACTTATCAGCCCAATCCGTTGGTCATGGAGAGGAAGTGAACTATCGCAGCTAAAAGCTGAGCTACGCAGCACAATACGGCATAAGTTTTATACTGCAAAAAAATACACAATAATATTGAGGCGAGCACAAACTGGGGGAAACATTGGTACAGCTCAGTTCACAACACCACAGAGTGACATGAAGGAACTCACCGTCGGTCTGCTGATTGAGAATCGTCTGGAAGGCAAAGTGTACGGCCGGCATGTTGGTGCGCTTGCGTCCGCTGGACCGCGTGTCCTCGCCATCGAGGATTGATCTGTACATGTACCATACCTCTCTGAAGGTTGCATCTGTGACAGAAAGGGCAGTGCTCTAAAAAAAAGTAAAGGTACCTATAACATATACTTGCGTTGTTTCTCTCTCCATGACCATAAAAAGCACAAAAAAATATTTACACATTACAGCAAATCAAAATAAACAGTCCTATAAAACATCATGACAAAGCATTGCATGTATTCCACTTCACAATACCAGGGAAGGGGTCACAATCACATTGGGTGGTAAGTTTACAAGCCAATTTATTTTATCTATCCAGGCATGTACTATGGAGATCTGGGATAGGAACTAGAGGGTGATGGGTTACCAAGCCACCATGTTTAACTTCTTACCTGAGTTGAGTCCAAGAACTCTGTAGGCATCTTCACATGCTGACATTTTCTTGAAGTTTAGGTTAACTTTTATCAAAGGTGACACACATGAATCATTTCAGAGAACATCAAATGAGAGAACAAACTAAAAGGCTACTACTTGTAAGAATATTTTATAATCCTCATTGACATTTCTCTTACAGGCTACATGAAGGTAGGTAGGTAAAATATTAACCTGAAAAATGGTTTTATCTTGGTTAGTTCCTATCTGTATAAGAGATCACTGCTGGGATAACTGCATAACCAGAGGTAAGACAAGAGTTGGCTGTTTTTCACACAATGTTCACATAAAATACCTTGGCCACCAAAAAACTAATAACCTTCACCTAAAGTGACATTCATGTACCCTTATAGCCCACAACAGTTCATGGGATAAGCATGATTACACATGTTGGCATGTTTCTAATAACAAAAAGTCTGCAAACACACAGATGAGGTGCACTAACACACATCAAACCTCCATTCTGGCCTGATATGTTCACAAGAAAGAGGTCAGAGGTCATATGTCATCACAGCCAGATGACTGAAATTTTCAGGGAGTGTACAAAATTAATCATGAATCAACATCAGAATTATAAAGCTTTTGTCTCAACCACCACTTTTGCATGAGATATTTGTGAAGGCTGAGGGAGGTCCATTCAACCCCCATGGATTAAGCCAGTTGACAGCTGGTAAGAAGCAGTCATACTAGATTCAGGAAGAATGTGCCACTGCAATCATCTACCAGTGATAAGCTTAACTTTTTAACTGCATTAAGCAGTAAGACTAGCAAACTGGGCAATGATAAAGCCAGAACAGATTGAGGGTCCAGGCCCCGTGCCCATGGCGAGACATGCGACCTGTTTCTTGATATCACGTCAGAGTGGCATTGCTATTTGGCCTATGTTGAAGCACAGCATCTATGTTTCCAGACTTTTGTAAAAAGAAGCATGCCAAACCAAAAAAGAAGCATAATGGTGCTTGACTGATGCATCAGGGGTCCTGTTTCACCGTCCCAACTTTCTGTGTGCTGGGAGCTACAGCATACTGGCAACACGTTGTGTTTCCAATATGGAAACATCAACAAACTCAGACGCTCGCAATGCTGAAGTGTCATGCCGGCCTCGTCTCAACACCCATCAATGCAGTACCAATACAGCAGTGTGTTACCATGAACTACAACCATGGTCATTGTCAATGTCACTCGAAGGCCACAAGGTCAAGGTCGTTTATCACTATTCATTGGTAGCCTCGTTCAGCTTTTTCATCAAGACATCCGTAGGGTATGTAGTTTTTGAAGCTGATTTCGAATTCAGCACACGATTTTACATCTAAGAAGTAATTTGGTGTCTAGGTGTGCACAGTGCAACATATTATGAAGCTGTCGCTCGTCAGTGGTTAAGCTCGTCAGCGGACAGTATACCTGTGAATTTCAAAAGAAAAAAATAAGCTCAAGCGTCAAAATATTACCTATTTTCATCAGACATGCAAACAAAACAAAAAAATAGCATGCATAACACGTACATATCGCGAACAAATCAAAATTAAAATTGCGCAGCACACCACAATCCCAACACACACATCCCACGCACAAGGAACCAATTTTGTAACAGAAGCGTTTTGTTTGATGTTTCGTCAGTCTGCGTCAAGGAATTTGGCAGCATGACGTCAATAAAAGTTTGAAGGGAAAACTTTACCTCACCAAAACAAAACAAAGTTCCTTCAACCTGCATCTAAATTCCTAATAATTTTTTTTTTCATCCACGAAAAAATTGTGGACTTCGGGCGCTGCGGGGGAGGGAGTATTTGCCCCAAATGTCTCCTGCCGCTCCTGCCTATGGATCCGGCAGGGATCACTCCAGCATGCCTCTATCAAAATTTATCGTAAAAAAACTGCTATAGAGACCTGTCATAACCGAAATGACCTCAGGGACGTTGACTGTTGAGGGGTCACGGGTGCAGGTTGCAGGTTTTCGATTCATGTTCATGGCTATACGGTAGCGGATGTTTGTAGTGCCATACGTCCTTCTCAAATATCGACTTTAAATGGCTTTCGTCCAAAAACGTCGCCTTTCATTTTTCCCCAATTCCCAGGCACTGGTGCTTACGATGCAGAGGTCGCACTTGACGCGACCTGCCCTTGAGCGATCAATCACGTCAGCAGCAGCCCTGCCCTGCCAGCAGGCAGCAGCCCAGTCTGGTCTCGCATGACGTCTATTGCTCACGTGCGCCTCGAACAGGGACCACGGCCCGTAAAACAGATCAACTTTGGAGGCTCGCAATGCTCGTCTATAAACAAAGTCCCTCGTATAACGAGATTTATTGATTCTCAATGTTCTCGACGAACGGTCCTTACGAACCACAAAGCCGATAAACGAAACGTGTGTTATTTGATTTTTTTTTTTGCGAAACGTGTTACAACGATGCGTTTGACACGCCGAAAATAGACAACGCAAGAACTTAACCCAAACCACACAACATTTATAACGTAAATGACAAGTTTTTTAGCTACCACGGTGCTACAAACTACAAAAAGGCTATAACGCCTTGCAATGACAGTTTGCCCCAAAACGGACACATTTATGGACTATTGGCCTTAAAACAGGTCTGCACTGTCTGTTCACCACTGTAATGACCTGGAGCAAACGGGTCATGCAGCCAGTAGCTCTTGCGCATTGCATACAAGTGCAACCGAATATGGCAATGTGCAGTAACACACTGGCTTGCCACTCGCACTTACTACAATCGACAGCTCGGCTGTACTCATCTGTTTCAAACTAGCAGTGATTGGCAACGGTACAGTTCACACCGATATTTCATCCTATAGAACTAGGCCGATCGAACGCTTGAGGCAAACCAAAACACGAGGAAAAGGACAAGCAAGTCGCGACGCCGGCAGGGTTAAGGAAAGGCTGGAAATGAATATGGTGGTCCAGCATCTGAACACACGACATTGTCACGTAGAGCCAAAAGCCAGAACTTAGGAACGGCAACGAACACTCGTTAACAACGTAAAATGTGCTTTGAAAATTGAAAAGGTCAAACAGAACAGCGTGGAAGGACAAAGTTGTTAAAAGAAATGGATGGCGTGGAACGACGGGGAACAAAAGAAGACAACATAATGGGTAGCGGTGGTTTTCATGACGTGTATAACCACACAAACACTGCAGCTGGTTCCTCGCGGTTGTGGACAAGCCCATTTACCCACAATCAGCCACATCTGTGACCGACTCACGATCTGGTCCATAGGCTACTGAACGGCCTACAGTGCAATACTTATAGGCCGGTATCCCTCACATCTTCCCTCAGCTCTAGGACCTGGGCTGGTGATATTCGTTGACGCATGATCGCAATGGTCGTGGAGTCCAGTCTTAGCTACCTAGTGGGCGCAGCACCACTCACTGAATCAAAAGCACTGTGCACTATCATCGCTGGAAGCATAGTATACGCTGAACGATATCGTGCGTCTGATCAATGTTGGGCATACTGGGAAACTACCACTGGAGCAATAAGATCAACTACACCTACTGGACACAAAAAGGAAAGTAGCATACGCTAGGCAACTTTCAGTCGACAGTAGATGATCTCCACAAGTAAATAAGGAATGCAGCTCGACGTTCAAGAACAGCGATTGTCATAGTTCGTCAACACAGGCACACGCAGGTGAAACGCTTCCCTCATGAGTCATGGACAACTGAGAGAGAGCCCGACTGGCCCGAGCTGCTCGTCACACTCCGGACGAGGCAGACGAAAAGGGTCTCTGTAGAATGGCATCGGTCTCGCCATCCATCAACACTCAATGGAAAACCAACTTGTGCGCACCGCATGGCGGTATAAAGTTATATCGAAAATACCGCACAGGACTACATGCACAGCATGCATATGCTTATTACCTAACGATGATGTCGTGATATGCGACGATATGTTAGCCCATTCCCATTAGTAAGCTATTATTAAGCTGCAAAATCAAGTTCTCATCACAAGATAATAATGCTGCACTTAAAAAGGTACTGTTTCTTGTACAATAATATGATCTCTTGACTGACTGCTATTTATGAGGAATTAAATCGCTCACCTTAACAATGAATTATCGTTACAAAAAGAATATGGACGCCATCCCATCTCTACAACGAGGCGGCCATAGCGTCAGAGTGTTCACTTGTCGTTCGCGTACCCACGGCGGCGCCACCAGCGAACCATTGCTTCAAGTCTATGGCATGACAGACATTGAAGCCCAGTCTAGTCTGCCAGAAAGGACAGACTGTAAGTGGCAGACACGTCGCGCATCACAACTAACCGGAAAACTACGATCAGCTACTCAAATATGATACCCGTCCAGACCACATTTCTACACATGCTAGAAAAGCATACAAAAAGCTATGCTCACTAAATTTCGCCCCTCGATTCCAGTGGTGGACACATTATATGTCCATGACCCATGCACACCCACATAAAAATTGGTAACCAGGGCTGGCATCTTAGGCAAGAGTTCTGCTAAACTGGACATAATTTTGGGTGTCAATGAAGGACGAGTACGGAGTACCAAAGATTATGAACCTTATCTGCCCTTCCCATGTCACTTCCTACTCACTGTGATTCAATGGAGTGGGATGTAGGAGATGCGTATAAGATACCCAGAACTGAAATGCAAGCTGTAAAAACATGCGGTCACCCATTTCCAAATAAGGTAAAACGATATAGAAAATGTCTGCCAGCGGTGTGGAGGGACCATCTGAGGCCATCGCTTACATCGTCCACTAAGTCTCAGGCCACGAGTAGTTCTTCTGAGTCAACCGATAAAACTTCCGGTTGTGTGGTGCAAAAAAGCGGCGCAGCTTTTGTACCAGCTGCGGGTCGGTCGGAGGGTGCTTACGCCCTTTCGATTCAGCCAAACACTTACTGCCGTTATCGTTGGCAATGCAGTAGAAGCCTTTAGTGTCGTTGAAGTAGAAGTGGTTCTCATTGAGGTAGGGCGGTAGTCTGAGGTGCTTCTCGACACGGCGCAGCTCGGGCAGTGGCTCCCTCACCAGCCGGTCACCATCCACTATGAGCAGCGCCTCCGACGGGAAGTGCTGCAGCCAGCGGCGCACGTGCCGGTGGTAGATGGAGATCTTGACGAGGCGCGACTCGGTGCGCACAGAGCCGTTCGGGCGCAGCACGAGCTCGGGAAGCCGTAGCCGCGGCTTGCCGCCCCGAGCCCCCTTGTCCAGGTACTGAGCGTAGTCGGAGATGAGCCGCGCCACTGGCTCGCGAACCACCACCAGTAGACGGATCGTCTGATTCATGCGGGCCACCTGGTGGAGAACGGAGAACCGTCACATCTCCAGACACAGCGTCGAGCGACCGCAGCTGCTGTGAAATGCCAACATAAAACATTCACGCTATGAAGGCGTGCTATTCAATACTGTATACACCGTCAATGTCATTGATAGCAGTTTATAAGCAAAGGAGTCTGTGTGAGCGACCCGTCCCCGGCCGCGGCGCAGCGGCCACTGACCCGTTCTGGAACCGTCTGTGTCACCAGGTAGCTGGGAGACTTCTCCACAGTGATCTGGTCGTCGAACGAGAGCGGCATGCGCCGCCGGTACCAGTCCAGGCCGCGCCGGTAGTTGTTGTCGCGGTCGAAAAAGTGGACCTCACGCGAGGCCCGCATCACCTGCAGGACCACCAATGGCACGATCGGTCAGGTCCCGGTGCGTTCTGGTCTCCGGACACTCATCACACACCGAGCAGCACAAGGAAAGACTAGAGAAAAAAAGACAACGTGCGAGCCAGCAATCAACAGGCGGCCACATCCAGAACATAGCATGCCCTTCTTTAGTTCATTAAGCCGATAATGAATCTCACTACCAGCTTAATTCATGAAAAGGGCGACCCTTCTGAATCAAAGGAGCCGAACGAAACTGAATCTTTAGACTGCTGGAATGAAAATTAATTGTTGGTGCCCTTTTCCTATAATCATGACCGTGATTAAGAACATTGCATAAAAGCTGGCAAAAATCACGAACGAAATTGGCCGACTAGGTCACACCTTATAATTCGCCCAAAGCGTAAAGGGAAGTACGGCGAAGTCAGCCGGTCTCACCTGTGGGTGGACGTTCATCATCTCGAGCAGTGCACGCGTCCCAGCCTTGCGTGCGCCGATGATTATGGCTCCCGGCAGCCGTCGCCGTGTGTGTGGGAAGTGGAGGCGGCCGGCCCCGGCGCGCGCGCACACCACCGTGCCCGGAGAGGAGTAGCACAGCCGGTACAGGAGCATAGTGACGACGAGCAGCAGCAGCAGCACGGTGGTGACCAGCAGCCGGCGGCAGCGGCCGGCCGGCGCCTCCCCGCCCCACATCCCTGACCAGCATCGGAGCCGGCCGCCCGGCCACCCGACGCCCGTCGCCACGCTACAATCAGTGGCACCGCCGCTGGCGGTCAGCGGGGGACGGCAAACGGGGCTGCCGTCAGTCCACGAGCGCATCATATGGTACACATATTGCCAGGTCCGTTGTCATTTACAAAAGACAGACCATATTACAGCCAGCTTTAGTTAGTGACACTGACCTCATATCGCCTAATCTGATACACTCGCCTAACCACAGACTTCTCTAAATATAGAGTGGGCTGTGACTTGATTTAGGTACCTGATATGGCTATGTGGTACCTGATATGGCTATGTGGTACCTGATATGGCTATGTGGTACCTGATATGGCTATGTGGTACCTGATATGGCTATAATTGAAACGATGTCAAAATTTCTAAAAGAAATTCGTTTTCTTCTAGACGTATTCATTCTAATTAATGATCGATGGTGCATGCATGGTCTGTTCTGTCAACAGTATGTTTGATATCTTTGCACCAGATTTTATGGAGGGATATGTAAACTGTTATCTCCCAATTGATATCTGTAAAATTAGCAAAGTTAGTAAAATAACACAAAGAAAATATGCCATTCAGACAGATATGCTAGGCAAATACATCATAAATGCATATGCATGGATCAATAGCTTATATACGCATCTACACACCATTTATTAGCAGCCCTAGCAAATAAGTTCACTCACCACAAACACACAAGTGAGGACCTGCGGAAGCCAATGATGCAGCAAATGGATGTGACTGAGCAGCAATCACTCACATTCTGTAACAGAAGAAGTAGGTAACTGATGTGTACCGAGCCAGATAAGACAACATTCATCCCATTTTTTACTTGCTGTTAATAGGTTAATTGTTATAAAGGATTCTTAATTTCTTACACAAAAACTACAACATTATTTAATGGACATTGCTAAGTGCTAACGACCGAGGGGGGTGTCACCCCCATAGTTTTTTTTTGCCATAACTCCGAACACGCCGGTGAAAGAGGGCTGAAACTTAGTATACCGTAAAGTGGGGCTATTTGAGACAGTGGGGCTATTTGAGACAGTATTTAAAATCGCTATAAAATGAAGATCGTTTGATTTTTGTGTGATATTTTTGCTAAGAGAGGTGTGGAATCGAGCAGTAAATCGCCTGAGTAAAAAATTAAGCATAAATTTTAAGTGGTTTTTATTTTACAGGAATTTTAAATACTGTCTCAAATAGCCCCACTGTCTCAAATAGCCCCACCTTACGGTACCTGACCTTTGATTCAAGCCAGATCTTGTGACACCAAACACGTTTTCAGGTCAGGTCAGGTCACTGACCTATGACGTCATAAGTGAACCTCTGCACGGTCTTCAGATGTCGCAACTTCGCAATGCCCTCAACGCCAGAGGAATTTTCACAAGGAGATGAAACCTACAGGACGTAGTATCATCCAGAGGTCTCGATAACTTTTGAGGTTGCATGATGTCAGGTCAGTCAAGTGACATCACCATTATAAGTCAATGGGGAAGAAATGATAACTGCTATTTTGGCACCCTGAACAATCTCAAACTATCTCAAGCACACGGAATAGTGATTTCATGCTTTCCTTGTTAGGTCTGATGGTTCACTTTTGCATTGTTGACCTTGCGTGGACGTCACTTCTACTAGGGTCCTGAATCATGATAGTTTTTCGCCAATAACTCCCGATTAAATTGAGCTAGCGAGTCGGGCAAGCCACCGATGAACTCAGAAAGACCTGCCGAATCGAATGATATGCGATATGACCTCCTTCGACCAACTTCGTGACTTGGGGGGGGGGGCTCTGACCTGACCTTGACCCCAGGGTCAATATCTTCAGTTGACCTCACATAACAAAAGCATACCATTCAATGTGCCTGGGCAAGGGGAACACGATCAGGGCTGTGGAGCCGATGGATTTTAGGGTGACTCCGACCCCGACTGCAAAAATCGACTCCGACTCCGATTCCGGACGGTTCCCATATCGTGATATTGAAGCTCATAATGGAGATGTTTTTATCTTGCCTGAAATGATCCCCTGTGCGTTCCAAGGCTTTGCGTTGGAAATATGCATTACCTATAGATAACATGTAGAATTAAAAAGCAGGTTCTGGGGAATTCACCGTCTTCTGCTTCTTTCGCTGAAGAAGTTTGTCCAAAACAGCAAAGTGCTTTTTATTACAAAATCTAATTTCGACTGCAGTATCGTCAACCAAACAGGTGCAGTGCATCATGATGACGTTGAGCCATATAGCGTTAACTCCGACTCCGGAGTCGGAGTCTGTAAGATTTTCGCGACTCCAGCTCCGACTCCGACTCCGGGCAGAACTGTCGACTCCGACCAACTCCAAGTCCGACTCCGATTCAGACTCCGCAGCCCTGGACACGATGATGCCAAAATAGCTGCTCTATGACCGTTTGTTGTGAAGTTATTTATCAAAAACCAAACCTGTGCATTGGACCATTTGACCTGACCTCAAAGGTCACAGTTTGGCCTGACCCCTTAAAATAGGGAACCATTCCCTGCATCTCGTAATGGCGCACATGCTCGTTTTTCCACGACACTCTAGCTCCATCAGGGGCAAAATGGCGAAGGGGGTCATACCCAACCCCCTCGGCCGACGAGTATGTAGAAAACCAGTAGGCCCGGTGAGCATTAAACTGCTAAGTGCTAGGTAAGCAATACCAGTCATGTCTTAAATGCCTGTCATCTGGTAATCTTCTGGCTGGCATACCTATTTTATATGAGCAGAGTTCTATTGTAGGTAAGCTATCCTTGACCTAATACCCGCTAACTTGATGGAAACAATAAGGTAATGGCACAGGGTACCTAAGCTCCTGGGACTGCTGAAAAATTGTGGCTTATGTCACCTAGGGTATGATGCATACGTAACACTATCTAGATCAATGCTATTCTTACCTGGTATTCTTACCTGGTAGGGTTCCCTTAGTCTTATTAGGATTTGATTGGGGATGGTCCGAGATGGGATAAGGAACCCAAGATTCTGAGATGCGCCAGTTCTCTAGGTAAACAACTGCCAATAAAGCCATCAGAGTACACACTACAACTGGAATAGAGCGTCTTCCAATGTGATAGTTAGCAACAAAATCAGTAAACTAGAGACTTGCAATGAGAATATCGACAATGTCCTAACCTAATCTAAACTAAGTGTATGCATACAGAGAGTTATGAAGGTGGGAGTGTAACAATTGTTTAAAGGTTTACAAGTTAGGAGCACATACTGCTTCCTCAGGCAATGAATTCCATGTATGTAGGTATACATCGAACAGAGAAGAAACGCTTTCTAACATCAGTGCGACTATGTGACAGGAGAATCTTGAAGCAGTGTCCTCTGGTTCGACCTTGGGGGGCCAGGTCAAACAGGTCTTTAGGCGATATGCAAGAGTGTCCATGGAAGACCTTCCAGCACTGGATGAGGTCAGCTCTTATTCTTAATAGTCTACCCTGAACTGAGTACAAGTCAAGTGTTTTTAGACGATCGCCGTAACTTAGGTTACACAACCCGGAGATGTATTTCGTCCATTTTCTTTGTACATTTTCTAACAGATGCAAGTCTTTAGAATATCCAGTGGACCAGACGCATGAACAATATTCAATATTGGACGAATATGAGTATTGAGTGGTGAAAAGGAAAGCGAGAACTCAGAGGATCTACAGACTGTGGATTTCAAAAGACTGTGAGCCAGCCCACCAGCCTTGTGGACAGTGGATTGGACGTGCTCATGGAACTTCAGGTATATGGACTACTATATCAATATGGACCTGAATGGCTAACAGCCCTCTGATACTAATGAATTCAAAACTGCATCAGACAGGATCATCTTTGGTCAAAACTGGGCTGGCCGCATCATAGCTTGCCAGATGTTGACAGGTGGATGACCAAAATGTTCCGATGGCAGCTGGCGCACTCTGGTAGCACATGATAAGTTAAATGGGTTCTCCTTACCACATCATTTTGTGGCAGTTACTGTACTTTTCAGAATTTGGATACATGACTGTTTTAGCAAACTTCTAGGTCAATTTATTGGGCCTTACCGGCCTTACCAACAACTTGAACTGGATAAAATCAGCTAAATGGCACTCATAGAAAAATCAATAGATATTTAGTCGCTTATATCTAGCATTGAATATTGATACATACCTACCATAACGAAGCTCTGCTAGCGCCACCATATGGCGCCAGCTAGCAGATTATCCAGAAAATAGTATGGCCCAATTTATGGCATTAGTAGAGCAGACGTCACATGAAGGTTTTCCAACCAAGGAGAGGCGCTGTAGGTTTGTAGGTTGTAGGGTAGGCTTGTAGGTTGTAGGTTTTTAGGTTGTAGGTTTGTAGGTTAGGTTGGGTCAGGTTAGGTTAGGTTTGTTTAGGTTTTGTTAGAAAGAAGTACCTCCAGGCATGTACCTCTCCTTGGTTGGAAAACCTTCGTGTGACATCTGCTCTCAGCTCTACTTATACCCGATTTATTGCTCGCTCAATTAACCCGCGCCCCGTTGGGCTCTGCCGAGCAACGCGCCCCGTTGGGGGGGGGGGCATTTTGGCCCCCCCCCCTAAGATCTCGAGAACCACGCAACCTAGCGACAAGCGGCAAACGGTGTTGGATAGCCCTATCAGGGAACTACCTTGTGACCCAATTTTATTGACCTAGGTCAAACCGATGACGTCACAGGTCAGGTCAAAGGTCCAATTTTCACCGTTTACAGGCATTTCAAGAAATGCATTGTAAAATCGAGTGAAATACATTTCATTGAAAATCATCGATGGGGAAATGTTCTTCAAACACATATTTTGCTAGTTGAAGTCACTGATACCAGGTCAGGTCACAGAGGTCAGGTCACTGGGGGGTCACAATATGAAAGTGTCGTGTGATACATGTTTTATGGTCCATTTTACATGACAAATGCGATTATGTGGGTCAGGCAGCCTTTGGGGCCAGCTTAGGTCACGTTTTGGTCAAGGTCAGGTCAAGGTCAGGTCAAGGTCAGGTCAAATTAGGTCAAATTTCAAAGTTGATATTTTTGCATAAAATGGGTATCGAATCGATGCAGCTCGTCACGGGGAGGTCAATGATGGTCTTTGTTTTTCCGTACGAGGTCTAGAATCGCTAAAAATTGAGTTAAAAAATTTGACGTTATCATTTTTTAACAGTTTTTTCGCTATAACTTGGCTCAAACATTGCTCGAACATTTTTGCTCGAACATGACCTCAGTTTGACCTCAATAACTCCTGACCTAAGGTGACCTAAGACTTGAAATTTGGTGTGAAGGTGTCAAATTGATGCCCGGGAAGGTACTGAAAATTCGGCGCGCGCAATTCAGGAAAAACCACAGGGGGGGGCCAAAATGGCCCCCCCAACGGGGCAAGGGTTAATGCTCTGTCACATATCAATATGCCTAACAATATGATTATGGTCAGTGGTTTTCCTTCTCATAGAATTTGGTGACAGGCATTGTAGTTTTTTTTAGACTAGTGACGGTTGCAAACATTTTCTAAGTTGATTTATTGATTGACAAAAAAAAACTTTTTCCAAGCAGGGCAAGGGTGACTAAAGGCGATTCTCGATGTTTTGAAGGTCTCGGTTCATGACAAATAATAATTCACCGTAAGCAATAAAACAACAACAGATAAGGAAAGTCAAAACAAATCTCACCAGTTAATCCAAATCCCTATTCCAATTTCCATACAAATTGAAATAGATATCTTGATCTTGCGTCTTGAAATTGAAATCTCGGAATTGCGGCATAGAGCAGTTGGGATTTGTTCAGAATTTCCAGCATGTCTTGCTGCTCCTGCTGTCGAAATCAAGTCCAAGTGCCATGACGTATGAATTTCAAAGCTAACCAATAAGCAGCCGCGAACAACAGAAGAACGAATAGTATGACGTCATAGTTTATGTCTACATTGCGTCATCTCCTGCCACTAGCCGAGGGCTGTTCACGGGCCCTGTGTGCGGTCGGACCGCACACAGCCTCGAAGCTCCGCCCACCGCGTCCCTACGTCAGCCTTCCGTCACCGCACACAGCGATCGCTGTGGCCGGTCGGAGGGCTGTTCACGGACCCTGTGTGCGGTCGGACCGCACACAGCCTCCAAGCTCCGCCCACTGCGTCCCTACGTCAGCCTTGCGTCACCGCACACAGCGACCGCTGTGGCCGGTCGGGACTGGCCACAGCGGACCGTCCACCGCACGCAGCCGTGACGTCAGAGCCGCCTACCCATCCCCTACCCCCACGCCTGCTGGACGTACCGCACACACCGCACGCAGCAGTGTGCGGTGCCCGTGAACACCCCTCAGGACTGGCCACAGCGACCGTCCACCGCACGCAGCCGTGACGTCAGAACCGCCTACCCATCCCCTACCCCCACACGGTCGTCAAGTTAGATGTAAGTGAATCCTAACTATAATCTAAGATTCGGAATCAGGTGAGCCCCTACGATTTGGACCAAACTTGGTCAGTGGATAGTACGTAACGTCCTGATTACGATGCACCCAAAATCTAAGCTCGGCCCGCCATATTTACGAAGTTACGGATGTTTGAATTTCAAGGTCATTCGGGAGAGCCCCTACGATTTCCGTCAAAATTTGTGTACGGACACTCTAGATGCTCCTCATTACGAATATCACAAAATTTAAGCTCGGCCCGCCATATTTACGAAGTTACGGAGGTTTGAATTTCAAGGTCATTTGGGTGAGCCCCTACGATTTCCGTCAAAATTTGTGTACGGACACTCCAGACGCTCCTCATTACGAATATCGCAAAATTTAAGCTCGGCCCGCCATATTTACGAAGTTACGGAGTCACAAAGTTACGGAATTTCAAGGTCATTCGGAGAGCCCCTCCGATTTTCGTCAAAATTTGTATGCGGACACATTACATGCTCCTCATTACGAATATCATAAAAGCTAAGCTCGGCCCGCACTATTTCAAAAGTTACTGACGTTTGAAACTCACTGAAATTCAAACATCTCTAACTTTTGAAATAGTGCGGGCCGAGCTTAGCTTTTATGATATTCGTAATGAGGAGCATGTAATGTGTCCGCATACAAATTTTGACGAAAATCGGAGGGGCTCTCCGAATGACCTTGAAATTCCGTAACTTTGTGACTCCGTTACTTCGTAAATATGGCGGGCCGAGCTTAAATTTTGCGATATTCGTAATGAGGAGCGTCTGGAGCAAGATTACTTTACTTATATACTTTACTTATATACTTATTACTTATATATATATACTTATGGTCTGGAGTGTCCGCACACAAATTTTTACGGAAATCGTAGGGGCTCACCCAAATGACCTTGAAATTCAAACCTCCGTAACTTCGTAAATATGGCGGGCCGAGCTTAAATTTTGTGATATTCGTAATGAGGAGCATCTAGAGTGTCCGTACACAAATTTTGACGGAAATCGTAGGGGCTCTCCCGAATGACCTTGAAATTCAAACATCCGTAACTTCGTAAATATGGCGGGCCGAGCTTAGATTTTGGGTGCATCGTAATCAGGACGTTACGTACTATCCACTGACCAATTTTGGTCCAAATCGTAGGGGCTCACCTGATTCCGAATCTTAGATTATAGATTAGGATTCACTTACATCTAACTTGACGACCGTTACCCCCACGCCTGCTGGACGTACCGCACACAGCGCACGCAGCAGTGTGCGGTGCCCGTGAACACCCCTCTGGTTCTGACTGGCTTACAATTTTTGTAATAGATATTAGAACACAGCTTAAGAATGATGACGAATGCGGCGCAACGGCGAACCACAGCCATTGTCCAATAATTCAATAGCTTATATATGTAGGGCGAGTATGGTTTATATAGCCTTGGCGAGTACCTAAATTCAACCTAAATTCAACCTAAATTGAAGTGAGCCGGTGGAAGACTCGGATAGACTCGGGAGACTCTCCGACCCCAGCTGCGTCTCGGTCTATGGGGAAAGGTCAGTCTTCTAAGCAGGGGGATCTTGTTATTGTTTCAGTTTCCAACTTTTTTTCCTGGAGCATTCTACCTGGTTTATATAGCCTCGGGTCAACCCAAGGCAAAGGGGCTAGCCGCAGGGCTGCGGAGTCGATGGATTTTAGGGTGACTCCGACTCCGGGTTCAAAAATAGACTCCGACTCCGACTCCGGACGGTTCTATTAAAATCCATACCATGAATCATGATATTGAAGTTCATACCTAAAAGAATAGAGACGTTTTAATCTTGCCTGAAACGATCCCTTGTGCGTTCCAAGGCTTTGCGTTGCAAACATGCATTAGAAATGGCATGCAGGATTAAAAAGCACGTTCTTGGGAATTCACCGTCTTCTGCTTCTCTTGCTGAAAATGTTCGTTCAAAACATCAAAAGGGCCTTTTTTTGACATTAGCACAGTATCGTCAATCAAATACCTAGCCCTAGGTGCAGTGCATGACATTGAGCCACGCAGCATTAACTCCTACTCCGGAGTCGGAGTTGGTAATATTTTGGTGACTCAAACTCCGACTCAGGGCAGAACTGTAGACTCCGACTGACTCCAACTCTGACTCTGACTCTGCAGCCCTGGTCAGCCAGGTTGAGGTAGGTAGGCACTATAATAGAGGTGTCACTTTCAGAAAACGTATGTTCAAAGTCCGTCCAATGTCCAATGCTTACGTCGACTGTCCGTCCAAAAATGTCCAAGCCAGTCATTTGTCCAAAGAGGTCCGACACCTAGGCAATAGTTTACACTCAACACTGTTATTTAAGTTGCTTTTCATATACCGTTACCAGCTCAAAAGTGGTAATCATATTGAAAGCTGTGCTTTCTAATAGCCAATCAATGTTAAACACGATTACTTTTTAAAAATGTTGAGGTGTAGCAAGTGATTGTCCAAAGTTGTCCAAAGCCTGCTGCCATTGTCCAACCAAATTCCGAATTGGACATTGGACAAATCGGAATTCTGAAAATTCAAGTTCCGATTGACACCACTAGTAGGCACTGGTCACTCGTATGATAGCTGTGGAGGCTGGGGGATCAGGACTAAGGACTTAGTAGTTAGTAACCGTCCCAGCCTAAACCAACCAGACCAAAAATCCATGACAGACTGTACTGAACAACACCTAGAGGCACAATTGACAATTTATCATTACAAAATGCAGATTTTGTACTTTTGGTGTGAAAACTGTAATAAAAGGTCAGTTGTTCTTTGACCAACCGGCCCATTGTGTCTGCCTTAAATCATTTTCTTGGACAATAATGCACCAGCAAAGCAGTTCATCACAGTTTCATGCTGGAGCCTGCACTGCTCCTGACTCCAAAGTCTGCACCACACTGCTGCAAATCAGCACCACACCACACCACTGCTGAACAAGGGCAAAACATATTATGTCCTGGTGACCTCTGGCATGAGGTAATGGCCTCTGACCCAATGTAATTGTTTTTGCCTTTTCACGGGAGACCAGCTGACTGAGTGCCTTCGCACTGGCAAGAACTCTTCAAGAATACCATATTTTGCAGTCTGGCTCTTATGGGTCACATTTGCCCATGTATAGGACAGGAAGGGTCTTGCTCCCCCTCCAGTACAAAGAAGTACCTACCTAGTTTGTTCAGTATTACCACAGCTGTTGATCAATGAAGCTAACATAATCTATTAACTGCCTAATCCCATTATCCTATCCAGCCAAAACTAAGAATCATTCCATTCTTACAGCCCTGGTACAGAAAAGCAAAGTAGCATAACCCATCCTATCACCTGTGATGTCAGTGACTATATTCAGTGAATTGCATCAGTGTTCCATTTTTCAGAATTTTGGGTGGGAAGTCTAACCTGGATAGGGAAAATATTTTCATCCCAAAAATCGGAAAACTGACATTATTTCACCTTTGAAGAAAGTTTCGTGCATTCAATCAGTCAGTCCTGACCCCCCCCCCCCGCAAAGTTATTCATAACACTGCACTTGATGGGCCTAGTCCTCACTGCTAGTTTGCTAGATATTATATAGATACCTATTAGAGATAGCTATAGATATTATAGTGGTTTGCATGATCCAAGGGCTTTTTGGTCATTATTTTTACCTGGTAGTATAGTATGTGTTGAACTGGGAGATCTGGAGCAGGAGGTAGCTCTTGAAAAACAAAAAACAAAAAACTTTGTTTAGTTTCTTTTCATCTGATCCATTCAGAAGGGCACAATTTTCTGTACCTAATGATTGAAGTTTTCATTTTTAACACGCGCACCGACAGGGGGGCGGATATCCGCCCCCCTGAGGTTTTTCGCGAATAGCGGGAACGCCGCGAAATTTGGTAAGACTGTTCTCTCATCAATTTTACACATGGTGTGCAGTTTGAACCTCCTAACTTTTAACCCTCGCCCTTGCAGGGCATTTTTCATAACACGGCTTGACAGGGGGGGGGGGGGTCGCATCGACCCCCCTCGCGGTTGGCTCCTATGGCACCTAGAAACACCAAATTTGGTAGGTAGGTGGGCCCCCTGGAGTTCTCGCCCCTGTGCAAATTTGGTTGCTCTAGGTCAATATTTAGGGGGTTTTTGGGGGGTATAAATGTAAAAATTTCGCTAAAAACAGGTCAAACGTGTTTTCTGGCCTGGTGACCTGACTCAAGGTCACCCGGACCTGAAATTTTCAGGCCATATGTAAAAAGGTTGCCTCATAGGCTGTGCCAAATTTGGCAGCGCTGCGCGCCGCCGTTTTCACGCTATCTTCGAAAAACCTTAGGGGGGGGGTCGCATCGACCCCCCCTGCCAGGGCGAGGGTTAAGGTCAGGTCACCAGGTCACTTGAATGACCCAACCTCAAGTCACTTTTTTGCAACTTTGTCACCATGCCAGAGCTACAGTAGATGTCGGAGGCCTTTGTAAGTCGCAGGATGTTATGAGGTCATTAGTCAGGTCACACGTCGGTGCGCGTGTTAATATAAGTAATGACAATCTTTCAAATGATGGTTGTTTTTATCTCTTATTCATTTCTCTGCTTGATAGATGATGGACGAACTGCATGAGTTTCCACTCTCAT